TCCAATAAGTGCTCATGGCAGAGGGGGGTGGGCAGGGATGCTGGCCTACCCCCCGACAGCAGGAGGACATGACTCTGCACGACAGGACAAAGGGTCCAAGCAGTCGCACTCGATCCTGTGGCTTGCTGCGTATAAGGTCACAGTAAAAGAGCAAATCTAATATCCAGACAGGCCGGCGGGAAGGCGGGCAGGCAAACAGGCTGGCGGGCAGGTAGGGGCATGGGCAGGAGCACATTTAGAAAGTCAGAGATAAATCTCAGTCTTCCTCAAGCTGCCTGGAGGAGGGATGGTAAGAGAGGCAAAAACAGAAACTGGGACAAGGAGACAGACAAACAAAATGATATTTGTAAGAAGTTGTCATGAGTCCGTTGATGGATGGTCTGCTCTCCAAAACTAATAGAACACATTTTGGGGAGGGGCTTACTATAATAGATTTGAGTTTGAAAACAAAGACATCTTTGTACAAGACATCCTGATCTTCTCAAAACCTTAAAAATTCACTTTTGTGTGAAACCACCCATTTTTCTAAGGATCAAATGTATGAAACCTGCAGTTCTTATTTACTAAAGATCCAAACCAATCAAGACACTCATCAGTAAATAAGCAATAGAAAGTTTGATCTCCAAACATTAATATTTGTTTGCTGAGGAGGAGACGGAAAAATAAAAACTCTTCTTTAGAACAAAAACAATATATCTACTGTGGCTAAATTGAAAACTGAACAAACCAGCAGTTTGCTGGAGAGCCTTTCTCACGAAATAAAACGTATCCAGAGCCAAAGAACACACTTGAAGCCTTAAATAAAAATTACACAGCTCCATAAGTGTTTTACCAAAGATGACTGCATTAAAAAATTTAAGATATGGAATGATTTGCTGACAGTTCTTGCCAGTTTTACATGTTATAGGATAAAAAAGCCAAACTCGTGTTGATAGAATTTAAACACTGACCTATGCAAGTTTATGTGAGTCCACTATTTCATCATGAACAAAATTATGTTAGATCTATTCTACTTTTGACACATATTTACACAAAATTGAATTTAGACTTTTCTATTGTGATAAATAGACATTGTAATAAGTTCTATGTTAGTTTTAGTCAAAGATAAACAAAAGTAGCCCCTGCAGTGGGATTAAAGGTTAGCTTATTGCCCCAGAACCACAACTTGCAGGTCCCTGACTGTATGACTRCTGAAGATTGTAGTGAATGCATAACTGCAAAAGTGTGGTGATGTGACTGGGTTGGAGACGTAATGTCATTAATAAAAATGAACACTAAAAATTTTAGAGTCTAACTATATCTGCATTCTTAGATTTTTGGGTTCAGTGCAAACAAGTGTTGTATGATTTATATTACTGGTAGGTGCTTGAACGACATACGTAGTTTTATTAGTTTTATTCATTCATAAATTGTTTCAATTGAAGTCAGAAGTCGTACCATCCTGTGCCTCATAATTTATCATAATGTATTGTGTCATACTGTATAATATCATATTTTAGTGTACCTTATCACACATCACTACATCGTTTTGTAGTATAGTATATTTTTTGCACCACAATATATTATAAACATTGCAATCATTTAAGGTGTCTAACAGAGCTGAACATAAATGCCCGGGGCAGAAATAAAAAATCCAGATTTCTTGTTTCCTGCTCGTTTTTTGGTGTTCAACTCAAGTTTTCCAGTCTTCAGACAAAATAATAGAACTTGCCTTTGCTGTTCGATTAGTTTAAGGAGAACTTTAACATCTATTAGTACATTTATTGCATTATTGATTTAAAGTCTGTGTCTAAATACAGCTTTGAGATATTTGCACTCGATTATTGCACAACACTGACGAGTGAGGTACCATTAAGTTAGTTGGATTTGAGTGAAAAAATGTAAAGCAAGCAAACTTTGGAATAAAAAAAACCTATATGGTAAAACATTTATCTCTTTAACTTTAAATAAAAACACACAACCAGACTGCTCTCAAACAGAAATTGCATCTCTTAAACAGTAATCCTATTTATTGTTCTTTTAAAAAGGCTTTTACACAAAAACATTACAGTTTTATTTACTGTATGTTAATGTTCTACTTTCTGCACAATGTTTGGTAAAAAGCTTTAATATTACAACTTAAAAACTTTGTGGGGGGGGTATTTATTAAGGTTGATTCTAAAATTTAAGTCAAAATGTATAATGGTCTGATGAGGTTTAAAATTCACATTAGCTGCAGATTAACTTGAGTAAAAAAAATGATGTTACACCAGGACTGAGTATAAATATTGTGTGTGTTGACAGAAATCTCTTATGTATGTTTCAGATCACAGACTTTTCAAACTAATAATTAATTAGTTAATGTTTTATTAAACCTGTACAATGTTAGGCATCAAAAACAATCTTGTTTTTGTTGATTTGTGTCCACTAAAACTGATCCAAATATTTTTTCATTTAATGAAAAGGGTTTTTTCTTTTTACTCTGCAACTATAAATTTCCAACATTAAAAAAATTAATGATCTATATTATGTCACTATTAACTATGCATCCTGTTTTTAGAACCTAAATGTTATCTAAATAAACTCTTAAAATCTTTGCATTTTTGAAAAAAATTAGTCATTTTAATTGTTTTGGTCTGTTTTATTTCGTGTTAGGTTGTGGTGTCGTGTAAGATGGTCAAATTGTAAAAATTTCCCCCATTTCAGCGTAGTTTTCAGGGAATTTGGATCATATTAGCGTTATTGTAATAGGGTGTAATACGATTATTCAAATCCCTCTATTTCACAGTGGGCGAATGTGATGCCGGGGCTCATCTATGGAAAAGGCCCTTTGACAGAAAACTGTGTCTGTGTGCTAAACCCTGGAAATTCCCAGCCAAGAGGATTCTCCACGCCACTCCCCAGAGACTCTGCTCACATCAGCTCTGTCGCAGCGCATGTGTGTCACTCTGTGCATGTGTGCGGGAGCAGTTTTTCTGTCTCCTCTTGCACGTAGCAATTAAAGATTCAATTGATTTTCCTGCCGGCACCGATTACCTGCTTCACTAGTTTGGTTTTCCTATAACGTTTGATTAATAGATGCAGGGAGTGGGAAAAAATATGAGCAGGTAATACAATTGTTTATATAATGACTATTTCACTGACCATAGAGCTGTAAAAACCATGCTGGATTAAAGAGTTATGAGCGTGAATTTAGACACTCTGGATGACAGATAATGGTTCTAGTCAAATGGAACAAAGAGCATGTCTAAAATGTTCAAATGTAAGCTTCTTTGTTTTGAAACAAATTAGATTCTTTGCATTTTAAGCATCCTGTTAAAGAGAACGTAATTACCTAAAACTCATCCTAGACTAAGATAATGAGGTTCTCAACTATGCTTTAACTTTACTTGGCTTTACCCTTAATGCAAAATGTTGAAGTAAAAGCCAAGATCCAAGGAACACAAAACATTTTTTCCCCCTTTGGAGCTTATGGTGATGAAAAAGTCAATCAGTAATAAAAGTTACATTTAATCAGCTGGACACACCATAATTGTTTGAAGTATCTGGACACTGTCACAAAGTTCCATAATTTTTCATGTTGATCTTGTTTTTCCAAAGCATGAAATAAATGAAGCATGTAAAAAGTCTGGTAACATACATGGCATCTGCAGTGTTCATGATGTGTTCCTGTCACGTATAATGTGTATGTATCTGAAAAGCACAAAATGTAAGGAAATTTATGTTTGGTAGATTATTTATTTATTGTAACAATGCTTCCTGGCAATAAATCTTATACCTGCACTTGATTGGCAGCATCTGGGGGTTACCAAAAGCTCAAAACTATTGTAATTAGCAACAACAACATATGCTGTTTGGCAGAGAAGATCTGACAAATTTTCTATGTGCACAACCCACATTCTCAGCTCTACTGCTCATCCCACAAATGCACCTTCCTTACAAATGTGGCACCATTTAAAAGGGAAATTAACAGACTGCAAAACAGTAACACTTCCTTACTTTTTGTGCAAAATACATACAAAAGTTACCRAATGCTATAGTGAAAACATATCCTTTGTTGGCACTTTAAGGTTTTTGTCACATTTCRTTTCTGTGACATTAATGCAGCACATCTGTAGTGCTCATCAGCCTCATTTTGTTGCCAACTAGCCCTGGTCTCACCCATCATCTTCTGGATTTTCTTGCTGGTGCTTCCTGTTGTTAAACTCTGACAGATCTCAGTTTGGTAGTGGGTTATCTGTTCTCATTTTCAAGTAAAGCTTAAACCAAACCCCCAACAGCAACTTACCCATCAGTTTCTTCTGGGTACGTTTGTTAACTGACTGACTAGACTGAAAATGGTAGTCATATATGTTGTATTAGCTGACACAATGCACAAATAGTACAAAAAAACTGCACTGCAGACATTGTTGTTCTAACACGTACTACAAGACTGCAATATGCATGCAAGAATAGGTCACCTACTGTATATGCAGCTCTAAGGACTTGGATAAGAAAGACAAGCACTGCATGTATGTTAAAACTGTGGAAGTGCAAACAGAGGGCTAACAGCGTGGCATGAGATTGTGTCATGATACTGTTGGATCACTTCTCTGTAATCTTTTTTGTTGTGACCTGTATGTGGTGTTTTAACATTATGGAGCTCCTAAAGAGACACTGGTGAAAATAAAAGAAAAAAGGTTTCATGTGCGTATAAAAACACATTTAAACATGTAACAATTTGGCTTGGTTAAAACAGCCTTTAAAAAGATCACTAAAAGTAGTCGTGCTTTCATCCAATTTTAATGCGAATTTTGAGCWAATTTTTAAAATGTCGAAAAAGGGGAAAAGAGAAAATGCAAATCAGACATGTTCCTATCAACTGGCTGGGAGCGAATCAACCAGGCTACGCAAAGTGTAATTATGTCMGATGCTGATGTTACGCGTGGCTGCAGTAAACAGGAAGTAAAGTTGCAAACTTGCAGGGACTACACATCTCATGACAATTGAGAGAAGTTATCAAGAATGTGACCATCTCTCTCAATCTGACCAGTCGCAGTTAGGACAAACTTCGTCCACACACCAACTCCACCAATCAACGTTAGGACAAACTACAAGAAACTCCCCCTACTTACTGCAGAGACCAATACTTGCCCCTGTTCGGTGTTTTTGCATTAGCCTTTATGGCCCAGGTCTATCCCGATTTTTGGAAACTCGAGAACTTCTGGTTCCAACCAGGCCGGGCTGCTCGGCCTGATTTGACATCAGCTACTGCTGCTCATTGATTGGTTCACTGAACACGGTGTTTATGTCRCGCACATGAGAGTGACTTTACATGAATTGTTTGCAGCCACTGTAACATTTTTTGACACAAGTTTAACTTCACAAAAATTGTAGCGAGCAAGCAACAACAACAAGCTAATAAAAAGCTAACATTAGCTTACCCTTCTCTGTCGTCCTGCCCTCTCGTCCTAAGTTTCGTACTGCTAGATGGTCTAGATCTACATTCTGCACTTTCCCTTCGAGTTTGGCGTAGTCCATTATTATAAGATTGTWCATGTTTAATATTATGATCCCGCCTACATCAAGGCAGCACTTTGCTCAATGCAAACACAACCCAGGCCAGAGTAGAGAAAGACCAGGCTGTCTGGAGCCAGGGTGGGCCGAAGTGGGCTTTACAATGCAAAAATGCTAGAGCTACGCAGACGATTATTTCTGTGCAAATAAAAGGTATCTGGTGTGCATCAGATAATATCGGGAGCCCAAAAAAATATTTCTCACGCTCACCAGGTAGTTACTCATCCACTCCAGAAACTTATTTGAAATGTTTTTGTTAGTTTGTTTTTTCATCAATGTCTCTTTATGGGCTCTGTACAACGAAACTACATCCATGTTAGAAAATTCTTCAAAACGACCAATAACTCTGTGGCAACCTACTGGAGAGCAGATCAGGTGTTAGATATTGTATGTACAGAGGTATTGTTGATGTTTTTTTTACAGCTTTGTAGATCAAATATAACAAAAAACATACAGTACATTTGTGGGCAAAGACAGCATAAACAGCTTACCCATATTTGTGGTTTACATCCTCCACACTACAGAGG